GGGGGGGGGGTGGCAAAACAAGGAACAGGGCTCAGGCGAGACAGGAGCTCTATTTGGTTTTCCACTGGGAACCACCGGAGATTTTTCCTACCCGACTTCTGTGGCCCAGATCAAGCCCCAGATGCCCCATGAAGCCTTCCCTGAATTTCCTACCCCTGCCATCTTAGCGGATACAGAGTCTAAGCCACATAGCACCAGCGGGTGCTCCCTGAATGAGAGACAGCACAGCACTTACTACGCCATATGGGCTGTGGGCCCCCTGGCAGCTTGTCATCGTTTTAAGTCAGAGGCATAAATGGAGCTGCACACCTGAAATGGAAATCAACCTGGCTCATGCTTCCTCTGTTTTTGTATACACTGCTCCTGGTGAGGTAACCATGGGCTTTAGGAAGCAAAAGCATCTGCACGCCCCTCCCCAAATCCTGCCCGGTGGTAGTTACGCCATTTGGTACGACCTGCCACTCTGGCTCAGTGAAGACACGCGGAGTCAGGAAGCACCGTACCTGCTTCGGCAAGAAATTTAACCTCCTGGGTCTCAGTTCCCTCGCCTGTGAGAGACCACTAACACCTATGCCTCACAAGGTTGCTGAGAACTCACTGGGGCCAAATTAAATGAGACGGCTGAAAGTCACTGTGTAAAGCAGAGAGCGCCCTCTAACTGCAAAGTCAGGACCAGGGGGGTCAAGCGGCCTAACCTCGCTCGTGCTTCCTGAGAAATCTAGCTGGGAAACCCAGTCGCGGGGAAAGGAATGGGGTGAGCAGACAGAGGTACAGACCTTTCCATCCATCCTGCAGGCAGGTTATGTGAGAGGCTGCCTGAGACTGGGCAACACCACTTCCAAAAGTTATTTCCCCAGGAGGTCACGAGAGCAGCAGGTGAGAAGACAAAAAGAGGCAGAGAGAGGGTGGCTGTGCCCCGAGCATCCCCGCGCCTCTGTCAGCAGGGAGAGCACAGGGCAGCCTGCGGTGGGACAGACAAGGCTGACGCCAGGAAGCAGGGGCCTCGGCACCAGTCTGACAGCAGAGGCAGCTGGGCTGAAGCGCTGAGTGGTTAGCAGCAGGAGCGAGAAGCCGAGGTGGGTTAGTGACAGTCTCCCTCAGCTCCGAGGGACCCGGGACCCTTACTTGCACGTCTTGCTGTTCCCCTGGCACTCGAAGTTGTCGAACAGGCACTCGGCCGTGTTGCACAGCTCGTCGCACTGGTTGTTGATGTAATCCCAGCAGGGAAGTGGGGAGGAACAGTTGGCCCAGGGGTTCTCCATGGTGAGGGAACAGTCACCCCCGTCCCACTGGCAGGCGTGGCTGTTGCAGGCCTCATCGCAGATGCCATCCCGAGCTTTGTCGGCACAGTACTGGCTGTGACAGGTGGCAGGAGGGGTGCTGGTGGGGGCTACGTGGAGTTCGCAGTGGCTGCCCCAGAACGGCGGCAAGCACTGGCAGGAGTAATACGGGGGCTGGCGCTGCGGGAAGCAGCTTCCCCCGTGCTGGCAGGGGCTGCTGGCACAGCCCAATTCGCAGTCCTGGGGGTTGGGGCAGAAGCAGCGGGGTCCCGAGGCCGTGTGGACACACTGCTCCCCTCGCCTACATTTCACTTGTCCGCAGCTGCTCTGGCATCTCGCCCCAGAGAAACCCTGTGGAAGTCAGTGAACAAATGAGGCTGGTGGACTGATTCTTGAGGGCGTGCCCTGTTTTCCCTCCCAGTCCCCTCTGCCACAGCTCTAGAGAGGTGAAGACGAGACACTTGGCTAAGATCCCTCCATGCAGCCTCCTGGACCAAGCTCCAAGAAGGGACCTCTTCAAGTCAACCTACAGCTCCTAGGGCTAAAGGTTCCACGGGGTGATGTGGACTCTGCCAATTTAAGAGATCACTTCCAAATTAAGTCCACAGGTCATGGTGGGATAAGATGCAGGTGACACTGCATCCACAGGCACCTTCCTAACTATCATCCCATCACTTATATAACAGCTTTATGGGAGGGCCGGGAGTCCCATCAGGAGGTCTAAGTAAACGCTTTCCCACATTAGTTCATTCCCCTACTTCCTGCGTAGCCCAGGCCAAGGTTATTGCGCAGGTTTCCTTTCGGGGTCTCCCCACACACAGTGATCTCTGTTTTAGGGATGTTTCAGCCTCTGGCAGAGGGGAAAGAGTCTGCATAGCAAATGGCTAAAGTTTAGTTTAAGCAGCAGCTTGTTCACTAACAGCCCTGCTAAGGAATGTAAGCAAAGAGCATTTCCAACCAACTCTGCCCCAATCTGGGCTGCAAGACGACCCTCCAGTGCAGGGCCTGGAGGCCAGGACAGCAGTCCTTTTGCAGGGAACATGCTGCCACTTTCTGTGGTTTTCCCCTGGGTGCTTCTGAAGCTAGATGATGGCAGATCAGGGAGCTCACTGTTTCAGTATCGAACAGCTCTAAGTGGAAAACCCGAGCACTTCCTTCTGAGGCAGCTAAAATGAAGACACCTCCCCGCCAAGAGGGCTCCCCACGCAGCTCGGGAAAACCAGCTTAAGCTCAGCTCTGTCAGGCTGTGTGATGACACACGGCACTTACCGGGGGACAACGACAAATGAAGCCATCCGGCATGTTGCTGGCCACAGCACAAGTCCCTCCATTTAAGCAAGGCATCTGGGGACACACATCGACGAAAGTTTCACAGTGACGACCTTGAGGCAGAAAGTGAAAAGGAGCTTTAAAAAGTGGAAGTCACCGAGCAGGACACGGGGAGGGGGCGGGCTGCTGTAGGGTCGGGGGGCAGGGGTGAGAGGTACGCGAGCTCAGGTCGAGGGCATGTGAAGGAACACGGGATCTCACAGTGCCTAACCCACCCCTGGCTCAGGCCAGCCTCCTCGCCTGTCCTGTCTACACTACAAGCACACGTGGCATACATTCCCAAGCGACTCACAAAGCAGGTTGGGTATGAAAAACTGAAACCATCACCAAAAAACCTCAAAAAAGGACAACGCTTTTTTTATGAAGGCATTTAGCTCTCAAATGTCAGAAGACACATTTAGCAAAACTGTTCACTGCACTTGGTTAACATCATCTACTTCACAGGAGGGGCTAACCCAGGCCAACACATATAAATGGTGACTTGAAATTTACAGAGAATTTTCATCCACAATATCTCTTTTCAATCACTTTTTAGCCTTTCTGTAACCTGACTGGCGCTGCTTTAAAATACAGCCTAACTTTCCCAGAGTTCATTTTCCCACTGCAGTAGGTGTAAGTTTTGAAACACCCCAGAAACGCAGAACGAAGCTCTAAATTGAGTATCTGAGGGCACTGCCACGTTTAGAATGAACAGCAATTTCAGTCCCCAAAGTCACCAAAGTGCCCTGTTCCAGAAGAAACCAGTAAGTGCCTAGGACAGGGCCCCTGTCCTGAGGCAGGACGTGGTCATCTTGATGTCCTCTGCTGGGGGGGGAAAAAAGCTTGACACACCAATTTGGACCTATCCCCCTAAGGATCCTGGAAGATCCCAAGCATCTCCGGGTCCCAGAGGTGAAAAGAAGGTCCCAGGGGCGGTGACTACTCAGTAACTCGGGTCATTACACGCCGAATGAAGGCGGGGTGATGGAACCAGACTGGATGTGAGGTTCCTCAAAACAAAACGTTACTTTGCTCAGAGGACAAGCGTTCTGTGGATGGATGTTGGTGATGGCAGCGCAGCAGTGAGAATGTGCTTATATCACTGAACTCTACACTTACAAATGGCTAAGATGGTAAACTCTGCTCTGTGTATTTTACCACAATTAAAAAATGTTACTTTGCTCAACTTCTCCCACCATTCCATTATTTTATCTTTCTGCTACATAACTGTACATACACTGTATGTGTATATGTATATATAGCATATGTATACATATGCATACGTACATATATATAAAATCAACGTATAGCAAGAGAGAAAATGTGTCTGGGGAAAAATAAAAGGTAGTGACTGATTATAACATCTACGGGGCACAGACCTCGGGAAAAACTGGGCCCTGAATGAAGCAGGACTAGTTTTCCCGTGTGAGAAAAGCTTCCCTGGGCCCCGGAGGGGAGACACGGGCCCAGCCTCCCCCGGGAAGCCGCGCGCGCTCACCGGTGAAGGCGCTGCGGCACACGCACTGGTAGTCGTTGGTGAGCTGTATGCAGTCCAGGCTGCCCTCCGGGCTGCAGGGGCTGGACAGGCACTCGTTGATGTCCCCCTCGCACCGCTCTCCCGCAAAGCCCGGCAGGCAGCGACAGCTGTAGCCGCCGATCTTATCCACACACTGACCACCATTGAGGCAGTGGGGTCCCCTGGCACAGTCGTCAATGTTCTCTTCACAGAGCAGGCCTGGAGGAAAGAGCGCGAGAATCAGGACTGGTCTGGGACATCGCTTCCCAGCAGGGGGGAGCGCCACCCTTGCCGGCACTTCCAAAATTCATCCCACTCCTGTCCTCGGCCTGAGGTGGGACTTTGAAGGTCAGACAGGGCAAAGTACACTCTTGATCTACGGCAGCCACCATCCTCCTGGGACCAGTCACAGCAAAGGAAAAATATGCTTAGGGCGTCACATGCCTTCTTCACTCAATGACATAGTCCCCAGGGATTTTTTAACAGACAATCTGATTCTAAAGTTATATGGAAAAATAAACTATAACCATAGCCTAGAAAACCCTGGAAAAAGGAGATCATAATCATTAAAACCTCTAGGGTAATATTGATAAAGTAATTGAACAAAAGAATAAAAAAAGGAAATTCTGGAAAAACTCCCAAATATATAGGGAAATTTAGCAGTTGATAAAGGTGCCATCTCTAATCACTATATAAAGATCAAATGTTCAGTAAATCATGTTGGAAAAATCAGCAGTCATGGGGAAAAAGTGATCCGGTATTCTAGTACTTGAAGAAAATATGGGAGAGTTCCTTTAGGATATTAGGGTGTGGAAGGTGTTGCTGTCTAGGATTCGAAATCCAGAAGCCATAGAAAAGACTGATAACTTCAACCTGATTAAAATAAAAAGCTCTGCATAAAAAAAAAACCCAGACAAAAAACCGTATCTGGGAAATATATTTACATTTGTATCATAGGCAGCTAACCTCTGTAAAGTATTAAGATCAACAATGAAATGGGAAAAAAGAATACAGATATGAATGGAGAAACCATAGAAAAAGGAAATCAAATGGCTCCCCCCCAAAATGACTCTTAAATGAGAATACACTCATCCACACTGGGAAGCAGTATGCTCATACACTGTAATTCAGCAACATCAACCCAAATTACAAATGCATATGTCCTCTAACCCAGCAATCCCATTTCCGAAAATTTATTTTACAAATACACTTATACACATGTCAGCCAGCCCAAACTTCTATCACTAGGGCAATAGTTGCATAAAATGTGGCGTGCCCATAAAAGGGAATTCTGCAGGATAAAAACAATTAAGGAAGTTCTATATTTTGATATGGAAACATCTCCAATTAAGTAAATAAATGAATAAATAAAAAAATTCAAGCCTGGTCGGTGTGGCTCAGTGGTTGAGTGTTAACCCATGAACCAAGAGGTCATTGGTTCGATTCCTGGTCGGGGCACATGCCTAGGTTGTGGGCTTGATCCCCAATGGGGGGTGTGCAGGAGGCAGCCAATCAATGACTCTCTCATCGTTGATGTTTCTATCTCTCTCTCCCTCTCCCTTCCTCTCTCTGAAATCAATAAGGATTTAAAAAAAAAGAAAAAAAAAGCAGTGGGATGAAAAACTCAAAATTCCTAAAGAAAGACTGTCAAAAATAAAAGCAAATCTACTGTTTAAGTCATCCTTAACAAGTGCTTAAAAGAGAGAAATTGTGTTGCCTTAAGAAATGGTCTATCCTAAAACTGTCTCTAATTAATAAAAGTTCATGGTAATAAATACAGCAGAGAGCTTAGTGTTCAGTGGATATCCATGTGCTTGCCCACATTTCCCAGTCTCTCTTGCAGTCAGGCTGAGATCATTTTACTAATTCTGGCCAATATACTATGAGCAACAGTGATGGGTGTCACTTCCAGACTGAGGTACTACTGAAAGCTGCTATATAACCCTGCAAGCCTGTCTCTCTGCCCCTACTGTGGAGGCCTTGAAAGCCAAGTATTTCAAACCACACATCTAAAATACATAGAGAAGTTATATACATATATGCATAACCCATGGATAAAGACAATAGTGTGGTGAAGGCCTGGGGGAGGGTGGAAGGGAGGGAATGGGGACATCTGTAATACTTTCAACAATAAAGATAAATTAAAAAAAATAAAGTTCTGGTAGAAAAAAAGAGAGATAGAGAGAGAGGCAGCCCAACACACCAAGTTTGCATGACCAAAAAGAAAAAGAAAAAACCCCAAAAAACCACATTGCTGTGTTAAGCTACTGAGATTTGAGGACCAATTTGCTAACCACCAGAATCCTAGCTAGTCCTAAACAGTACACTTATTCAAAGGAACAAACAAAGCTGACCTCTACTTCTGTCTCAACTATTGATTTCCAGGGCAGAGAGCAACTCTCCATTTCACAGGACAGATCTCTAAATGTTTAAAGGCTTGTCTCTCCTTTGTTTTCTATTCCTCTTTAGCTCATTGCTCATTAACTAGCCTACTAGTGGGGTACTCTTCTATTTCTGTTTAGCCAAACCCTGAACTCAAGGAAGGCAAATTATCCAGAATCACTGACACAAAGGTCTAAGACTGTATATAAACTTCCCTGGCATTCTTTTTGACACTGAGGATGAACGTCCAACCAATGTGGACGGTCTCTTACATTCCCCCCTCCTCCCCCGGCTGCTCAGAGCAGATACCATTATAACTACATCTCTTCTAACAGACAATACTCTAAGCTCCTTCCAGGAGGCTGGGGCCACAGGAGAAAGATGGCTCCACCCTTCCAGTCTAGGGTTGGTCTCAGTAGGCCTTACTGCAATACTCAGGCCATCAGGCTCCTCCCTGGGCTTATGAAAACAGACCAATGTTTTCATCCATTCATTTCCCCACCTTAGAGGGGGCAAGACTTGGCAAGTTTTAAAAAATACATAAGCTGGTGAATGGGAATTATTTATTCAAGAGGCCGCTGGTTGTTTTCCCTTAAAGCTCCAAGAAATCTTGCGCACCAGGCTAATTTTGTTGCAATATTACATGATTTCCACATTCTGTGTTTCACAGAATATAAAATGTCAGCAAGACCCAGATGTCACTAAGGACATGAGTCAGAACTTCAGAGCCAGGCAAGAGATGAGAGAGTGAAATGACTGAATTATCAGAATTCAGAACTAAATGTTTGATTAAAAAACAAAACACCCCCAACACTAAAACTGGATTTATAACTTAGAGAACACCCTGGGCAGAGAATGGGTAGGGCTGGTTCCATACCCCGGGTGCCCGGTGGGCAGGAGCACTTGAAGTGGTTCACCAGGTCAATGCAGGTGCCTCCGTTCTGGCACGGCTGGTTCTGGCACTCATCCACTTCGTACTCACAGTTGACACCCTGGTATCCTGGGACACACTGCCAGGAGCAAACAGAAGGACAGGAAATATTGGACCATCGTTGGAAACAGACCAGGAGAGTCAATGACATCCGGAACGTGACTGTGACCCTCTTCTACCCAGCTCCTACATGTATGTTTTCTCTGGAGTCACCACACTCTCAATAATCATCCTGTGTGGGGCTGACTAGAGCTCACCAGCACTGACATCGCCAGGCCACTTTAATGGGATGGCAAGGACTGAATATTGAGGGATTTTCAGATAGGGCCCCTGTGCGGAACTCCCGTCCCCGTGTGCAGGGTGTCCCATCTTTAAAATACGGATCCCTTTGTATGTGATGAAGATGCTACGACTCAGCAGCCTGTGTGGATGGTGGTAAAGATGCTGCATTTATGCACCTCCAGGTTCAGGAAACTACATGCATGTGCGAGAAACTGGTGGAGACAGGGTGAGGGGAGGGGAATAGGCTAGCGAGCTGTGGTAGATCTTGGGGTTCGAGGGATTTCGGGGCTGATCAAGGAAAAAGATACTGACCATGAGGTGGCTTTATTTGGGCAATGCTGTGGCAGGTGTCGATGTGGGGAAAGAGGGTAAGGAGAGGAGGGCGGCGGTCTCCAGGGAAGCGGGAACTGAGAGGGGCTTGTGTGTTTGGTGATGTCGCTCAGCCGCCAGGCTGGAGTCTCTGGGTGAGAGTGAAATGCACCCTGGTAGTGAATCCTGGCCCTAAAAGTTAAGATGAGCAGGGGCAACCCCGTGGAAGCCAGATGGTTCAGACTTCTCTGAAAATCTCTTTCTAGAGATATGCTAACTAATTGCACAGGGGACTTAAAGAAACAGTAATGAGTAAGCAGTGTAATCAGCAGCTAAATTCAATAAGCTAGTGTTGATGACAACTGTTGCACCACCTTCCGGGAGGTCCCTGATAGTGCCTGCCTGTCTTACTCACCTCACACCTGTATCCACCGATGAAGTCACTGCAGGTGGCCCCGTGCTGGCAGGGGTTGGACGAGCACTCGTCGAGCTGCTCCTCGCAGTAGCTCCCGGTGTAGCCCAGGGGGCACTGGCAGTGATGTGAGTTGCCAGCGTTGATGCAGACACCCGAGTGCTGGCACAGGCGGTCAACGGGCAACCCTGGGACACCCAGTGGAGGGAGAGACATCACAGAAGACACAGGACGTGTCAGGTTCAGACCAATTAATCGGCAAACTAATCAAGCCAGTTGACACGACAAATTTTATTCTCAACTAACCTAGGACCCTCGATACCAGATATGTATTGAAAATAAAGCCCTGCAAGTGCAATATGCCTTTGTTTCCTTTAGAATACAGTTATTTTTATTAAAGTATAGTTGACATACAAAATTATATTAGTTTTAGGTGTATAAATTCATAATTCAACACATATCTCTTATGAAGTGGTCACTCTGATAAATATAGTAACCATCTATCACCACACAAAATTATTATATTATTGACTATATTCCCTATGCTGTACATCAAATCCCCACGACTTATTTGTTTTAGAACTGGAAGTTTGTGTCTCTTAATCCCCTTCACATTTTTAACCCATCCCTCTCCCCATCCTGAGGGGGCAGAGCTTACCTCTTCGGGTGGCTGCCACCTCACAGGACACATTGGGCACGTCACAGTAGGCACCTGCCCACCCAGACGGACACAGGCACCAGGACTCGGCTTTTTCCTGAACGCAGGTGCCTTTGTTTTTACAAGGAGACCGACTGCAGAGGTTGACCAGGGTCTGAAACAGAGGCACACACATCAACGTCCGCACCCAGAAACAAAGAAAACAGGTCACATGGCGTTTTAAGAACTCAAAGAAAAGCACATTAATTAATTTTTTTTTTAAAAGCCGTCACCCAAGCATTAAACTAGATCCAGTGTTCCCTAGTAATCTAATCATCTTAATAGAGTCCAATTCCTCTTAGCTCTGCTAGTTAAAAAGTTCCTACCACAGAAATTTAAGAACTCGAGGAAGCCCAATAGGTTAAGTTATTCCCTATGTCATGATTATGTCTAGATATTTGGCCACCCTGTGGGACTAGAAGGCAAATCAAAGCTGCCAGACAGGTAAGTAACTCCCTTTGCCAATCCTGCGTGAGAAACCCACGTGGGTCTTGAGCAAGTCTGTCGGTGGTGAACATGAGTAAAAGCACTTAAAGCCTGTCAACAAACTGAAAAACTGTCAAACAGCTTGGAGGAGAAAATCAGGCTTATGGAAAACACGAGGCAGAGTGCAAGCGGCCTTGTGCCTTTCCCCAGAGTTCCCACGTGGGCATGGCCTCGGGGACAGGAAGGCAAATTCACTGCACAGACTGTGCAGGAAGGGGCCGGGGGGGGGAAGGGCAGAGTGCCCACCAGCATTTATAGTCTCACACCGCCAGAATGAGCAGAAACCCAAGGAAGAACGTCCTCCTGTTTAATATGCAGAGGTGGTGATGCCCGCATGTCCAGTATAGACACGGCCTTACTGAAGTGCACCTGCAAGGCTGGGGAAAATTGGCCATTTAACCCTAAATTCTTTGGAGCTCTATAATTCTATCAGTTTACCATTGTTTTAGGAGGTAAAACAGCATAAAATTAAACAGTGTGTTTGGTATGGAACCTTAGAAGAGTTCGTTTTTCCCTCGGGGACTTGGTTTCTCCTTCCATGAAAGGAAAGGCTAGACTGGTTGGTTCTGAGGAGGCCTTCCATCCTAAGAGTCCACAAAAATGTATACTTATGTACTTGAATTTAAAAGATATGCGAATAGCTTGGTTTGAGGATGTTACAACATTGTAAGACATGATATTTATTATCCCCTTAGATATTATATCTGACCTTTAGAAATTAATTTTTTATTGTTTTTCCCCCCGTTTTGTATTTCCAATGTAAATAATATCTATGTGCTTATTTCCTACCTGTATTTTTCTGTAGTTCTCAGTCTGTTAATAATAATCTTATGCTGGTTAATCCGTATAACCTTGCCAATGTCACTATTTTGGAATTTACTAGCTATTGAAAAGTTACTAGCTATTAAGAAGTCAACTTGATTTGTCTCAGAGATATCCCTGAGACCTTGAATTTTCCCTTTTAGGGGGGCTTATTATGCCAGAAAAGAAACAGGTATATACCTTGCTGCTCTGAGGAAGCTGACTGAGTGGGTTGGCATTGAATTACCTGACAGTTTTTCCCAGTGTAGCCCAAGGGGCAGGTGCAGCGGTAGGTACCCAGGCCGTCAACACATGTTCCTTCATTCAGGCACGGGTGAGAGTTACATTCGTTGATCTCATGGAGGCAGAACGGGCCAGTGAAGCCCACAGGACACAAGCAAGAGAAGGAGTTAGTCCCATCGACGCACGTGCCGCCGTTGAAACAGGAGCTAAGGAGCAAACAGGGAGAGCACCATCAGCTAGGTAATCTGGGCCTCTGGCCTGCTGTTTAAAAAGCAAGGTTCCCGGAACCTAAGATGTTACAGAGGCTAATACTCCTGAGCATCCCAAACTCCTACATCCAGGAAATTTTACCTTTTTCCAAACTAGACTGCTCGCCAATCAGCCTTGAGTCCCAGCTTCCTGTCCACAACCAAGAAGCTTGGAGAAGTATTTAAAAGGCCGAGTTTATGAGAGATTCCCGGAGAAGTGAACGTTTCCAAATTTTACCCAGTCCTTCTATATCATATTTCAGTTTATTCCTAAGTCGGTTTAATTTATAAGAGTGCTAAATAGAGAGCTCTTGACTCTAGATTTCTTTATGAAAGAGAAAGACAACAAGTTTGCTGATAATAATAATAATAAAAAAAAAAGACCTCCCAGAAATTATTTAAACAGCGATGACAAATCTGCAGGGAAATAGGNGATGACAAATCTGCAGAGAAATAGGAATTTTTAAATTATCAGCTAATAGGAACAAAAGACAAAGAGGAGAATTTGTCTTTTGTTCAGAATTATAGCTCTTTTGGTTCCCTAAGCAAGAAATAACCGATGATCCATCCCACTAAGCTGGTCAACCACTGACCTCTGACCTGCTAACTACACACCTACAAGGAATCGGGACTGGGCAACAGGGGTGACTGTGGACGGGACCCCCGTGGATGCCGTCCCCCGCCCCGGTGCTCCCTCTTTCCCAGGCTGCTCACCTCTCGGTGCACTCGTCGATGTTGTTCTCGCAGTGGACTCCTTCAAATCCCGCCGGGCACTTGCAGGTGTAGCTGTTGACGTAGTCGGAGCAGGTCCCTCCATTCTTACAGGGCTCGCTCAGACACTCATTCATGTCCATCTGACACTTATCGCCGGTGAAGCCCGGAAGGCACAGGCAGGAGAAAGTATTCACGCCATCCACGCAGGAGCCTCCGTTCTGGCAGGGATCTAAGCCATTACAGACGAACGTGAGAGCTCTGAGCGGCAGCAGCAACTAACCTGAGGCTCAGGAGGAGAGCGGCCTGGACCGCGTCACGCCGAGAGCTTAACATCCTGACTGACCTCTCTCTACTTGCACTTCTTATCTCTTTGCCCCGACTCCTGTTTACGAAAGTGAACGCAGTTACGCCTGCCTGAGAGTCTTATCCTGGTGTGATCACTGGATTGGACTTTACACACACCACTAACAGTTTTGCAAAATTAACAGTCATAAAACTTGCCTTGGCATCCGACACATTGACAAATCAAATATGTGCCCCCAACACACACAATCTCAGAAATGTCAATAAAGATTTTCAAAAGCTGTATGTGGCCATAGAGTAGGTGGGACAGATCAGGATACACACACACACACACACACACACACACACACACACACGTGTGTGCNACACACACAATCTCAGAAATGTCAATAAAGATTTTCAAAAGCTGTATGTGGCCATAGAGTAGGTGGGACAGATCAGGATACACACACACACACACACACACACACACACACACACACACACACACACGTACGTGTGTGTATGTTAATATATATTAATCAGCCCCCTGTGCTGACCCATCTTTCTTTCCTTTCTTTTCCCCTCCCTTCCCTGCCATTCATCCTTCCTATTTTTATTTTTATTTTTTAGATTTAGGTAGAATTAGGAAACAAAGGTGTGTGGTTTTTTATTTTATTTTAAATATCACATAGCTCAATCTTAGAGCACTTTACACTCATACCAGTTAATCAACACACCCTGAGCTGCCATCATGGCACTGTCCTCTGCAATTTAGATGTCACTCAAATCAGAACAAGAGAAATAAGTGTAGCCCCTACTCTTAAGGACCTTAAAATATAATTGCAAAGACAGGTCAAAAATATAAAAAAAAGCAAACAAAACACCAGGCTCACCTGTGATCTCTATTAGAGCAATTGTAAAAATCCTATTATCCCTTCTTACAGCAGTTACTATAGTTTCCATAGCATCTTTTAGGAGACCCACCATAATTGACTGAATTATTTTAAACTAACTGTAAACATTACCAGTCCTACTTCAAACAGGAAAAAGTTTTAAATACTGAAAAATTTGACTGATATACTTATTAATGTGGGAGAGGAATCCAAACAGTTTGATCCCACTCCCTTAAATTTCTCCATCAACTGTACCTAGGACATACTAAATTGCAATAATGCAAGAAAAGTAAATCAAATGCATACAGATTTCCAAAAAATAAAAGGTATAGTGGTTGTATTTATTCAGAGATAACATGATTATCTCTGTAAAAAATCCTAGCAATACCCCCAAACTATAAAAAAGCCAAATGTCCTACTAGTGAGTTGAAGTACATCCACACAAGGGAACAAAACAGAATGAACTACTAATACACACAACATGGATGAGTCTCAGATAATATGCTGAATGAGAGAAGCCACACTCCCTCTCCTCCAAAAAAGAGTATGTATTATATGATTCCATTTCTATAAAACTGTAAAAAATGCAAACAAGTCCATAATGACAGAGGCAGATCCCTGATTGCCTGGAACAGGGAAATGGAAAGATGGGTTAAATTATAAGAGATGAGAATTCTTTTGGGAGAATGGATATGCTCATTAACTTGAGTGGCAGTTTGGGTTGCCATATGTCATTTAAAATGTTGGCAGTGTATTACATGTTAATTATACCTCCACAGATCTGCTTTTTTTTTTTTTTAAAAAAAAGAGCTATCATAGCACTGTGCCCACTTTGTTGATGTAAACCACTAAGGGGAATGCTTAAAAGAGATTCCATTGCCTTAAGTCCTAAAGCTACTATCTTCAAAAAGAAGATTTTTAAATATTGATATTAAAGATACATGATAAACTGGTGGGGTGGCCAGTCTCGGCACCGAGAGGCAGTTGCCTTCACTGCGCTCCTGTGCTCCCTCCCGGGGCTGAGGAGCCGGCTGGCATACTCACTGGCCAGGCAGTCATCAATGTCCTCCTCGCAGTCCATACCACTGAAGCCTGGAGGGCACTCGCACATGTAGCTGCCCTGGGTGTTGTGGCAGAGACCATGGTTCATGCAGGGCTTGGAGACACACTCGTCAATGTCAACTGTACATCGCTGACCTAGAAACACAGGGGCAACGAATGGTTCAGTCCACGGAAGCTGACCCCCACAGAGATTTATGCGGGGCCTGAGCTTCAGCTGGGGTGGACGGGGCTCCTCTGGTTAGTATTCTGCTTTGGGAAGCCCCTTAAGGCTCCTGTGCCCCTGGCAAGTCACTGCCCAGGTGCTATAATTCCCTGTAGGGCATCATGGTTTCAGACTCAGGCTAGAATCTTCCAGTCACTAGAGGATGCCACAAAAATCCAAAGTGGAAAGGTTTTCTAAGTCATTCCCATTAGTAGCTCCTGTACGAGGCCTGTGTTTGCGACAAAGACCAGGGCCTTCCATTTATTCTGATGACCTGCCCACTTTTCAAAACACCTACGGTTTCTCCTCTCCCATGTTGTTACCTTGCCAGCCAGGAGCACACAGGCAGGTGTAACTCTCGAAATTGGGTGCCTCTTTGCAAACAGCAGCGTTCTCACAAGGGTTTGGGGAACAGGGAGCCAGTACAGTCTGACAGTTCTTGCCTGCAAAGAAAACGACAGAGTTCATGACAGAGAACTAGCCAGGGACACTGAAATTTCCCCAAATTCTATACCAAAGGATGCTCTCCAAATGCACATCTACAGTAGTGGTTTAGAGCTTTGGAATCTGAGAGACTCATGGTCCTTTGAGTCTTGGCTCCGTCTTGATCACTAACTGCCTGGCCTCAGGCAAGTTGTGTATCTTCTCTGAGCCTTCCCCTAAGTACAATGGAAATTAGGATGAATCTCACAGAGGCTTCTGAGGATTCAATGAAGAAATGCTCACAAAGTCCTTATTAGTACAGAGCATGTCACACAGAGTGGGCACTCGACAACTGGCAAGCAGCTGTCACTGTCATGCTATCCTCACGAGTGGTAACATGCATGTGGACACCTGCACCAACCAGGAGTGACAGTTTCTGCATCTCCACAGCTAGGATTCAGCTACTTGGAGGCTCAGCCACACTTGACCCCATGCACATGAGCAGGTAGGAAGCAAGAGCACGGCCTCCTAGTCCTCGGAGCCTCTGCTGGCCCATTCCAGAAGGCAATGAGGTTGACCAGAAGACCGCCAGAGATGGGAAAACAGTGAAGTAATTCTGATTACCTAGCAACATGCCTCCTAACACTGACAGCAACAGCATAATATCAGTATTTGCCCACCAGTATTTTCTGCCTTAGTATGCTGAATCAAAGCTTCCAGCAAAAAAATTAAATTAATAAATAAAAATAATGGGATGCTCTTATTAAAAGAAACATGAGGTTTTTTTTAAAGTCAAGTTACAACTGACTTGATTTAAAATTTTATCCTACAATTTTATCCTACAATTCAGAAAGAAAAATAATTACCACAAATTTTCACCAATATCTCCAACCAGTTTTTAGTGTGTCTGGTCGGAATCGTGGCTCACGAGGGGAAGCAATGTTGCTTGGCAGCCTTCATGCTGGCCAAACTCAATGCCATGCAGAAGCCTTAGCTACCCTCAGCATTGAAATTTTACCTGCATAGGCTTTCAGCCTAATGTAATTTTTCAAAGTTCTCACATAGGAAATTCTTTCATTGGTATCCTAATCCAACAGCCATCATATACTCAAATATTCTTATAGTATATGAACAGCAAGGAGACAGAATAAATAATTTCAAGATGAACTGTACACATAATCCACACTCAGGCAAGTCTACGATGTGGTTTCACAGAGCAACGTCTGCTTACATCTCCCTGCAGCCCTCAATTCTCAGTCTACGGTTGTAACTGAGAAGATCTCACTACCGCCAAGTGCGGCCAGCACTGTCGCTGTGAAACGACATGGTGCAGGCTGCCTTGTCTGGGGATAGCTACGGATCTGCGATAACTCTGATTTTACCCACCAGGCTGGCTAAATGCCGTTTCCCTACATGAACATTTCTTCTAACGTGGGGCAGAGGGAAGAGGTCTGGGGCAAGGCATCAAGTCTTCCAGGTCACAGTCATGCTCGAGGCCACCCGCCTCTCTACACGGCTCAGTCACTAGTCACAGCTACTGCCCACAGCCCAGGACTCCAAGCGCGTGAGGCTCCCGCCCAGCTCCTGCTGCATGCCGCACTGGGGAGCCATGCACAGCCATCGCTCATGTTTGCTTTGTTTCCCGGACACAGAGAAAATGGGATGACAAGGAGGAAACTGGCCACACAAATACAACCGATTACAGGTGGCAGTGACGAGGCGGGAGGACACAAAGCGGAAATGTCCAAGCACACTCCTGAAACACCACCTGAAACCAAGACCACCTGGTACAAAGTGCAGTCACACCCGTGTCTTCCGTGGTGGTGGCCATCCAGGGGCAAGGCCTCTCAGTGAGATGCAGCCGTGCTGAGTGTGAGGGGAGAATGGCAGGTAAGAGGACAAGCTCTGGGGCCAGAGACCGGCGGGGGCAAGTCCCAGATCTACCGCCGATCTCCGTGACCTTCCACAAGTAACCTCTCTTTGCCTCAGCTCCTTCACGTATAAAATGGTGACAGGAACATCTCTCTGTAGAATTATTGTGACCACGAGAGTAAATAATCCAAAGTATGCAAAGTGTCTGGCACGTAGTAAATTAGCAGTAAGCGGTAGCCTTGCTGTTGAAACTAACACTAAGAGCCTCGGCCATGGAGACACTGGGTCCGCTCACAACGATGGACTAAACCATCAGCTGGGCATCAGTCCCAACCATACACAATGAACAAAAACTTCAAACCCGAAAGAGCAAGGAAGGGACATGAGGCTTCCCAGCACATGCATCCAGGGAGGTCACAGTGCTTTCTCAGAGCTCCAGCTCCAGCCAGTGAGGGCAGGACAGGCGACCGGAGCAGCAGCATCGCCCCCACGGACCCCGTCTCTGAGGCGCAGAGGTTTGGAGTGACGAGGCGAGACCGCGCACCCCCTCCGTCCCGGCACCTGCGGGGCTCACCCGTATACGGCAGCACACAGCGGCAAGTGTAGCCACTTATGTCATCAAAGCAGGTCCCCTGGTTCAGGCACGGATTCGAGGCACACTCGTTGATATTCACCTGACAGTTATAGCCTGTAGACAGGAAAGGGGAAACAGCAAAAACAGTGAAACTTCGTTAGCTTCCCAATTATCTGAATTACTAAGCGATCCTCAGGGCTAACATAAAACACCTCAGAAACTGCATTCATTTCCTCAGGCCACTGGAACGCCTGTTCATTCATTCCAGGGACAAGATCCTGACATACAGTAAGCTGGTTAAAAACAGTGCTTAATTAGCTAAAAAGATGAATGGAGGAACAGTATGTTCTAACATCCTGAGTCCAACGCACCCCCAAATACAGCACAATTTCTCAATAATGTACCAAGAAATCCATGAAGGGCAAAAATCTGCTGCTGTAAGTAAATATAAGCTCTTTGTGTACAAAGTAAATCTGGTCAGGGCTTAGAAAGGGGGTGTGCTATTGAGGGGGGTCCGTCCCTGAATACGTGAATCAGAGCCTCCGAGTCCCGCCCCGTCTCATAGGCACAGGCCCCACCATCGGTGTGGTCATACCTCCTGCGGCCACAAAGCTGCCTTCCCCTGATCAAGACCTGAAATCTACTCCAGCTATGAAAAAGAGAAAAGCAAAGAGGCATTCATGGGGACAGGACAGTCCCCAACTGTTACACACCTTTGTCCAATAATCCCTGGCACGGAGCCTTCGAATAGAGGAGCTAGAGTGGTGTAAAAAAGAAAAAAGATGGCCCGGGCGTGCAGAGGGCTGGCTATTTGACAGTCACGCGGCTATGGGCCTGGGAGTGCAGAGGGCTGGCTATTTGACAGTCACGCAGCGACGGGCTCTACGTTTCGATTTCGATTTTGTTCGTTGATCAGCAAGTCTCAATGCGATAAAGACACATGAGCGCTTTTACTTTTTATTTTTTTAGAAGTGCTTTTAAATCTATGTNGTGCAGAGGGCTGGCTATTTGACAGTCACGCAGCGACGGGCTCTACGTTTCGATTTCGATTTTGTTCGTTGATCAGCAAGTCTCAATGCGATAGACACATGAGTGCTTTTACTTTTTATTTTTTTAGAAGTGCTTTTAAATCTATGTTTCTTAGCAAGTGTAATCTAATACATCAGTAAGTTAATGACTAAAATACGGTTTCAGAAAACTTTCAGTTAACCGAGTAAAAGGGACTCTGAAACATACTGATGACTCGCAGTAGCCGGGAGCCACTTCTGAGTGGGGATTTCGATGACTAAGTGAACACAGCAGCTCAAATGTCAATGACTGACCCACGGACTTCTCTCTCATGAGTTTCCAAGAGAAAACTGACGGCAGAAATNTGGGGATTTCGATGACTAAGTGAACACAGCAGCTCAAATGTCAATGACTGACCCACGGACTTCTCTCTCATGAGTTTCCAAGAGAAAACAGCAGTTACAACTCAAAAAATAGCTTTACACAACAGCCCCTATATTATGTATTTTTCGAGAAGGTCGTAGGGAACTAAGAGTAGTATCTCCCCGTGTGAGAGAATCTGCTGCTATTACTGCTGTTGAAATTACAGCAAGAAGTTTTCATTCTACCACCAATATCTCTTTGGAACGACCACAGAATCAAACCTGCACCGAGAATCTTACAACGACAACACCTGTCCAAAGCTGGGTCAGTGCAGTCCTAGCTGCTCGCCTGCAATAGCACTCTTTCAACCGCTCACCTCTCTGCTAGGCTGAAAGTAGAATCTATACCTATTTATGTTTTTATTTCCCAAGTGCCTTATAAATATTAGGCTCTCAAAGTACATTTGCTGTATGAACGGACAGAAAAAAATGGAAAGAAAGAAGTGAGCCAAGCACTTTGCAGCAGCAAAAGGGCGGAGAGGGGAGATGGAAATATGCACTTTTGCCTTCACCTTTAAAGCCCTTCTTGCAAGTACACCGGTATCCATTCACCAGGTTGTCACAAGTCCCTCCATTCTGGCATGGATTAGAAAGGCATTCGTTTCTGTCCACTTCACAGTTGACGCCAACCCAGCCTGCATCACAGAGGCACTTGTACCTGAAAGAAGACAGAGTTCTTTACTATGGGGGGTGGTGGTGAAGGTACAGTTGAGTCGGAGTTGAATACAGGACTCGGTGAAGAAATGAGAGAGAAAGAGGGGATGAAGGGAACCTAGTCTCATTTCTACACTTCTAGGGACCTGTACGTGGATCACCACAAACACGGTGTGGATCCTGTGGACCCACGTAGAGTAAAATGACCTTCCTTCCTGGTGCTTCCCTGGTTCGCAAAGATGCTAGAGAAATTAATTAATTATACTGAGCTTTCATATGTAAAGAGCATGGTTGGTACAAACATGAAAGACACATGTTTGTAATACATGGGTAAACCTGTAGTTTTTTTTCTTTCTTTCTTATATATACAACTAACGTAAAGCAAACTTAGGGTCGTTTGTTTCTAAGGCAAAACAGACACCCAGAAAGTAGATGAGTGTCAGAGACCCTAAGCCACTCTGAAGACCTCCTGGAACGTCTGAGTTCTGAGGTATGCTTTGTTCTGACCAGAACCCCGCCTCAGAAAGCACCTGGGGGTGCCGAGCAGAAAAAGGAGGGAAAGGAAGGTATCTGAGGTACGTGGTTATTGCTCACAACTTGAACATCACGAGCACTTAGTGCTGTACCAGCAGGTGGAGGCCTGCTTGTCTGGAGATTCTTAGGAAAACTGTGGGTGGGCTGGGACGCTCTGAAGCCTGCCCTACCCTGAAGCAGGAAAACTGAGGAAATTCATCTTGGAAATGGCTGGATTCCCCATTTGCATTCGGAACAGGAAATTCCAAGAGGAAACAGACACACCCCTTTAACGTATGTGTTATTAACACTCTCGCGCCCTCCACGGCTCTCGAAACACGCTCTTCATCCTCTCACCCGCCGTATGGCGACGGCAGTGCCCGGAGCCCTGTCCTCCGGCAGGCGCAGCGGGGGTGCAGGACGGCCCCAACCATGGGGCCTAACGCCACACTCTGTGGTTCTAGAAAATTACCTACCAGCCCATCGCATAACTCTGCGGGCCTTGCAGACTGCGGTCATTTGACCAGGGCCACGTCTAAAGGCAGCCGAGACGGGCTCTGCGGCAGAGGCGCACACTGGTCGCGCACCGGGACAGAGCTGCACTTTAAGTGGGCAAGGGTCAGAGGGCATCCCCCGGAGCTGCACCCCGCAGGAAGCACAGGGCTGCCGAGGGCAAAACCAGCCCTGGGCGACCCCGCCCGGCCTACCCACGCGGGAGACCCTCCTCCTCCCCCATCTGCTCAGTCCCGGGAGGCGGGCAAGACAGCGACAGGCTAACCCAACTCTTCAGCCAAGTCTCAGCTCCGGTCCCCGACCGGCGCGGGCAGGTAAGTAAGGCCAGGACTTAGACCCCGCGGGCCCGGCGCGGGGCAGTGAGAGGGCGCGGGCGGCTACTCACCCGCCCAGGCCGCCGGTGCAGTTCCCGTGCACGCAGGGGCTGCTCAGACACTCGTTGGCCCGCGAGAAGCAGCTGGGGTGGTGGGGCCCCTCGGGGCACAGGCAGCGGAAGCCGTTCACGTCGTTGACGCACGTGGCGCCCTTGCGGCAGGGGTTGGAGGCACACTCGTCAATGTCAACGTTGCACCTGGGCCCTGTAGAGGAGGGGGACGGTTCTGTCAGAGCCAGGCTGCTGGGGGGACAGGCGCAGCACCGGGATATGCTGTGCGGACACCGCCGTCTGCACGGGCGCCCAGCCGCACTTATTTAAGGAATGAGACGCCCCAAAGCCCGGAGTGCCACCGAGGGAGACGCCAGCGCCACCGTCTTCTGACGTGAAGTTGACTGAACGCTGGGACGGTGGCGAAGTGCTCTGACGGATATTTCTCCTTCACTCCATCTTAGAAAAGGGGAGACTTCACAGGGGTTTGGAAAGAGACCACCAAAGTCACCGGAGCACTTGGACGCTTATCTTATCGCGGCTCCCGGCTGCTTTACCGAAAATTCCTTTTTCCAGTTGGTCAACCCCGTGCACGTCCACACACGGTAAACCCCAGGCAGCTGGGACGCTCAGTGAATGAAACCGTAACTGAACGGTGAGTTTCGTTAAAAGACAAGCCACTTTGCTTTCACTTGTCGAGCTGTATTAATCCATTGTCTGCCTGGGGAAGAATATTCTAAATACAGCTTTATGGTCCTCTGATAACTGAGAAAACAGTTTAGGGTCTTTTCATCAAGAACAGTGGTTCACAGACTAAAATGTGCAAGAAGAGTTGCCGAAAGTACTTTTTTAAAGGAGATTCTTAGGCCCCCATCCCCATGGACCGTGACGGGGATGGTTCTGCAAACCACAGTTTAAATTACGTGGCTGGTTCAAATACTACATTTTGAGAAACTCTGATGCAGACAATTATCAGCTTATCATGATATAATAATGTAAATGCTCAGAATATTTGACACTGAAGTACGGTCATCCTCTAGGACATACCCGAGACTGCGCTTTGGAGAGCTGTCTGCTGTAACCTTAACAGTTATTGTTTTAAGCTGAATTGGGTTTGCCAGTTATGTGAGTTTTGCTTTGTTACATTTTGAATTATATTTCAAAATGATATAAAACTTTAAAATAACCCACCATTCTGTAAATGAGTGGCAACAAGTAAGTTGTAAACTGGCAAATTTCACACAGTTTCTGATGTTCTGCCTCAGGAAAAAAGAGCAGCCCATGCATTTTTTTTTTCCAAGAAAGAGTATCCCTGCATTTAGGACAGGAAATTCCAAATGAAACAGATACACACCCTTTTAAAGTATGGGTATTAGCATTTTTTTCACCCTCCATCGCTCTCTAAACCTCGATTGGCGGTTCTTGCGGTTAAAGGCCCATAATCTGGTAGTGGTTGCTGCTTTCCTCTTAAGTGTTTTATTAATAACTTATTTTAAAATACGACTTCCTCGGCCTCAGCCTCTGGTTTTTTTAGATGTTGGCCAATGGCACCAAGACATGAGCTATCCTCAGCCTGCCATGCGGTGGAGACTGTGGAAAAAGCCTTCATTCTCTGTTCTTTTTTGGAAGCATCTTCTCAGAAGCCACTCCTTCCAAGTTTTCTTCATTTGCTTTTAAACTCTTTCCAGAAACAATTTTCAAGCCATCTTCAGCCGAGAGAGTGAGGTGCGCCCTTGTGCAGTCCACTGCGGGAGCTGACACTGCACACCTGTCAGAATGGCTGTTACCAACAAGACAAGTAATGAACGGCAGGTGCTGGAGAGGTTGTGGAGAAAAGGGAACCCTCGTCTACTGCTGGTGGGAACGTAAACTGGTACAGCCACTACGGAAAACGGTATGGATAAATTAAAAAAAAAAAATTTTTTTTTAAATTAAGAATAGAGTTGCCATATGACCCAGCAACCCCTCTACTGGGTATCTACCTGAATATTTTGAAAACATTTATTTGTAAAGATATTGTATCCCATGTTCACTGCAGCATACTCACGGTGGCCAAGACATAGAAACCACCACAGTGTCCTGCGACAGAGGACGGGATAAAGATGTTGCACATACACGCGACGGAATACGACTCGGCCATGGAAAGATGAGATGCTGCCATATGCAGCAACACGGATGGGTCTTGAGAAGATCACGTTAAGCGAAACAAGTCAGATGGGAAAAGTCAAGGACCTTATGATTTCACTCATATGTGGGATATAAAACTGAAAGCAACAAATAAACAAGAAAAACAAAAACTCATAGACACAGACAATAGTATGGTGGTTACTAGAGGGAAGAGGACACGGGGGGGAGGGAAAGGGGGTGAGATATATGACGACAGAAGGAGATATGACTTCGGGTGGTAAACACATAGGTGATGTATTATAGAATGTACACCTCCTCCCAAGTTTTCTTCATTTGCTTTTAAACTCTTGGGAGTTTGCTTTGAAACCTATATATATTTATTAACCAACATCACCCCAATAAATTTAATTTTAAAACTCCCTTAAATCTGTTTAAAAAGTAGCATTAAAATAAAACAAAGGAAAGACTAAAGCACCTCACATTCACAGCTCTAAGTATATACCACAGTTGACTGATATTTTCAGTAGCTGACTTAAAACCCTCCCCCACAAAAAAACACCCCGAAACAGACTAGAAAACAGTTCCAAGAACAGGGTACCACCCAGGAATCAAAACATTCCATTTCTTGCTTATGTAGTCTCATACTACACCTTAAGTTTATTTTAGAATATTTTTAGCGTATGTGCTCCCTCCTTGACCTTCCTGGTTTGCCAAATGCTAAAAAGAGAGAGGCTATGGTTCATGGACATTTCCCAAAAAAGAAAAAGAGAAAGAAGAAATCTAGTCTAAGGCTTATATACCACCCAGGCTGTCCGGGGAGGTGGGATGAGCATGGGCTCTCGAGTAGGAGCCCTGGGGTGGAATCCTCGAGCAGAGCACTGGTAATGTTACTCAACCTCTCTAAGCTCCGGGTCTCCCATCAATACTGTGGGAATGATCACAGCAGTGACAGTTAAATGAGATCAGGCACTTAATTTAACGCCTGGCTCACAATAAGTTTTTAACAAATGGTAACTATTCTCTTATTACTCATTTAACAAAAATGCACCAATATCCTATCTAGCAGGGAGTTTTGTGTATTCTGTTGGGCTGTCAAAGATTAACAAGTTTCAGGACACAGAAGTACATCTGGCCACCACCAGCAGTGCTGGGCACTGAATATGACAGCTTCCATTATCCCTGTCTTCTGAGGGATCTCCCATTGAACAGGGACGACAGTGACCCGTGCGGGCCACCAACATTCTTCTCCAGCATCCACGATCACACACACAGCAGGAGAAAACGACTGTGAAACGCAGGGGAATGCAAGTTCCTGGCAAGTGGGAGGCAGATACTGACTTGGCTCCGAATGCCTTTTGACATCCTAGTAAAAAGCTCTGAGGGAAGTTTCTCACATTGGTTGCAAATGACCACATGGTATTTATTAAACGGTCACATCATATGCTAGGGCCTGCTGGCATATGTGTACAGCAGTCTAGAGAGACTAGGAGAGGCAGAGTGCCTGCCCTCGGGCGTGTAAGGGGCCTCCGGTCTCCTCAGTAGCCTCTAGCACTTTCTGATTGGGAGAGTCAAAGAGAAAGGTAATCTGATTAACAAAAGAGAGAAGAGACGTGCAATGCTATGGCTGCTTATAATTTAGGAAGGATTCTGGCCAACTTTATTTTAGGCATTTACTTTGTTCCTCTTGGGGAGGAAAAATATCTCAACTGTGCGGACCAAACGAGGTTGGCTCCGGCTTCATCCAGCCCGCTCCCAGAAGGAGAAATACAGAAGAAAGCATTTAGTGTTCTCACAGAATTTTATGTTGGCTATGCCATTACAGGGGGCATTGGCCACTAAGTGTAGAAAAATAAAGGTGGCTTTGCAAGCAACAGAACTCGAGCACAGTGAGTGACAAATTCAGGGTCTAACTACAAGCTCTGTTCAGGCTGCTATAAACACATGGTCTAAAGCCCCTAACTAATGAGAAGTTTCATGTTACAGTTTAGGGAAGGCCTGTAAGTAGAAAACCGGGCCGCAGAAGCACAGAAACAAATGCCTAACCTTCCCAGAGACAAAGAAACAGGAAACATTTTTTAAGTCGTGTTCCTTTAGATGCCCTTTTACCAAGTAACGCGGCTGTAAGTGGGACCTCCCACGACAAACGGCATTACCTGTGAACCCTGGGGAGCAGACACAGCTGTAGCGGTTAACTCCATCCATACAGACTCCGTGGACACACGGGTTACTTGCACAGTCATCAAAATTGATTTCACAATTAACACCTGCAGGGATACAAGAAAGAGGAGCCATGCAACATTACCGCCGAAATGCAAGGGTGTCCGCTTGCGACGCTGAGGGCTAAGAAAGCTAGAGCGCCCAGCCAGCCCCGGGGAAAGCAGCAGTTCTCCGAGCGCAGCCCCCAGACCCTGTCGGAGGGATCGTGAGGGCAAGTCCATCTTCCTCATCGTGCTGAGCCACTATGTGCCCTTTTCACCGCGTTGGCATTTGCACTCATGGCGGCAGGACTGCTGGCACCTCAGTGGGAATCAGAGCAGTGGCACTGCACCAGTCGTGGGCACTGTGTTCGTCACCTCCACGCACTCACAGTGAAAACCAAGGAAAGAGATGGGCTCACTTAAGAACGACTTTGGTGAAGTCAAAATTATTAACTTTGTCATTTTATTACATCTTGACCCTTGAGTGTATATACGTCTACTGTTCTGCGTGATGAAATGGGAAATACACACGAAGCAGCTCTGTGGCCAAAGTACAGAGGTGTCTCCAGGAAAAGCAGGCATGTGACTGTTTTAGTTCTGAACGGAAACAGTTGCTTTTTTCATGGAATCCCATTTTCATGGAAAGAAAAACTGACAGACAAACCAGGGCTATTCAGACCTAACTATTTAGTTTACATTAAGTGAAAATTAGAATTTTGGAACGTGTATCCACCACCATAAGCTCTAAACTGACAGTCACTATTCTGGGCTACAGCTCAGCAGAAATTTTAGAGTCTGGTAACTTCCTCCTAGAGTACGTTGCCTTCCTCCTGCTCTATTCCCAGAACAAACTGCAGAGTTTGGCTAAGCTAAGAAAAGTTTAACTAAAGATATGCCTAACTAAACAGTAGAGATATACCAATCATTATTGTTAGCATTATTTGGTAAAAAGATGCATGATATTTCATGATTTATTTAACCTGGATTTAGAGATGCTTTTTGGATATCATAGAGGAATAGCTTGGTAGTTTAAAAAGTCTAAAAAATAAAGTCTTAATAATAAGGATTATAAACTAACAAATGAAACATCCATGACAAAATGCCATAATTTTGATTCACTTTGTATTAATAGTAACAATAGTTACATCAAAAATATATTGAATCTTTTTTTTTTTTTAAGGGAAAGCAAAAATTTATTGAAGGAGAGGAGAGAGAAAAGCTCCTGCTGCAGCGAGAGGGGTCCCGAGCCATAATTATGTGTGAAGTACTCCGCCTCCCACATTACATAACTTTAATCTTCTAACTCAACCACCAAATCAAGCTGTGCTACACCCATTTCCTCATGACGTGTACAATCACAGAACCACAATGGGGCGTGAACCCGGCTCTCCAGACTGGACACTCCGCACCACACCACACGGGTCATTCTATGAGGGATGAGCCATATTGCCCCTCTCTCTACCCACAAAGGAGGCAAGGGTTCCCACATTCCCTGTACACAAGTGGATCCCTTTAAGAGGTGTCCAGCCCTTGGCTGACAGCCCCCACCTACCCCCACTTGACCAAGCAGGCCCCAGAAAGCCAGGTGGTCCAGTGTGGCTCTGCCCCCAAGACCACGTTTTACTTGAGCAGGAAGAGACACCCAGCCCGAGCTGGGCCAACGCGACTCTCTCATTGGCATGTGGGAATATGAACTGTGTGGCCCGTGGTCTGCAAATGGCCCTGCTTCCTGCTAATCTCTGCAAAGCCTTATTGTTCCAAACTCACCTGAAATCCATAAGGTGCTTTTTTGTGCTTTCACTAAATTCTGCTTGTTTTGTTGTTTGCTTGCTTGCTAATAGCTCTTTAAGCTAGTCAAATTGGATCCTGTGACTTCAAACCAAAAATAACTTACTTAAAACAGTGTCCCATCATAACAGAGTAGGTGAAAGAAGTGATTCTGGGTAGTGCACCCCACTTTCAGTGCCCAGTGAGTGAGAAACCACAGTTATAACCAGAAAATTGCAAAGTATCCCTTCTGTCTACATGCCCATCCAAACCCCAACCTACCAACCTAGGGCCATATTATGAATGGGTGGTGGGTTCTCACTCCAGAACTCGAGAGTTTATTCATAACGATTAATTGAATCCAGGGCCCTACGTGCCCAGCCTTCCTCCATGCATTACAACATTTCTTTAAGTTGCCTGGGTGTCTCTGCTTTAATGCTCCTGACAGCCACAGGAATGAATCTGGCAGTTTTCTGAGAGGTTCTGACCTTCCTTCTCTACGCTGCCTGCATACCCACTTCTTGCCTTTCTCGGTGACAGCTACTCACACCTTGCCTTCGCTGTCCTCCCCAGGGAACACACCTGATACATCCTGCCACAGTGATATAATCGCAGAGAAAACAAAGTGCTTGCTAACCCCCCACCCACCCAGGTTTCCAGTGCACTTGTTATAATGGGAACGGTAGCAAGGCCTAAAACAGCCCGCCATTCTAAAGGCATCCATTCAATGGCTTGTAAATCTCTCAAATTTCTCTCTGTACTGCAATTTCTCATGTCTGGGGACCAGCCCGGAAGCAAATTGCTTTTGGAAGGTCTCACAAAGATCTATTCAGCCCTGTTGGTGAGTTATCTAAACGTGGGGAGGGGGAGGCATTTTCAACTGTGAAGGCATGGGATGTTTTTCATATGCTTGAGCAACTGAAAAAGGACTTTGTTTTCAAACTTGGCATGTGCGAGGTCCTGGATGAAGCCCAGGGCCCTTGACAAGTTTGAAGGAATGCGTTTGGAAATAACAAAATAAAGCGAGGGCAGCTCACCACCTCCCCCACCTTTGCCCCCTACCTAGGCCGTTTTCCTTAAATCCACAGTAAGTTCTCAATAAATCACTCCGTTGTACTGGCAGGTTCCCCTCTAACAAAGGCACACACTAGTTAATCTTCCACTAATACATTTTCCTTTGATCTGAGACATAGTACTTCTCTGTCCATTAACCACAGTTGTGACCATAATTATTCCTCGAATAAGTGAAACAGAATCCACTGAAACCTGTGAAATGCTGCTGCCCGAGAAAATAATTCAGCGTTTCCCCAGCAAGGAGCAGCACGCCCTCACAGCCAACAGTCATTCAACCCGAGGCAGGAAACGGCAGTGAGCTCGGGACGCGGAATGGTGGCCCCGCATTCTAATTCCCAATGATCGGGGTGCTGCGGTCGCTCCTCCCCCTCACAATCCCCACCAGTGCCCAAAGCCCACCAGAGACAAGTGGCAGAAGAAAAGCATCACACTAGACACTCGGCTCTGAAATAGAGAGGAAACTATTGGAAACTATGCGGGGGGGG